AAGCTTAACCATGTGTGGGTTTTTAAGACTGCCTAGCATTTGTGGGGGAGGAGTGTAACATCTGCCAATATGAAGCAAAACATACTCGGCTCGCTGCTCGGTACAGCAGTGAAATTATATCCTTTGTCAGATGAATTGCACATTAAAGCACAGCTGAGGCTGTCCCAGACATATGGTAGGCTAGCCAATGGGAATCGATTGGGAATCAATAGGGGATCAATGTTAGTACTGTTGCTACGCTGGTACCACTGGCTTAGAACGAGAAAAGGAAGTTTGCGTACAGTGTGTAGAATAAATTGGATTAGCAATATGAGATGCAAAAAACAGTAACACATAGTGGAGAAATAAGGCTTTATGAAATGAAAATTATGACATTGTGTGACACCTCTTAAAATGCATTTTTTTCTTTATAATTGAAAAAGGCACGGTTGTCAATATTGTCTACATTGGCCAGCATAGGTGACTTTTCTAGCACCTGTTACTATGTTGTGACAGTGCAGGTTCTTGTAAAGCAAGGTATTTTGCATAATTGGTATGAAGATGTGCGAACAGGCGAGCAGTAATTCTTGAAAGTTAATGATTTTGAATTCTCTTGCTTTTTAAATATTTTTTGGATCTAGTCTGAGATTAGCAGACAATCAAGTACATCATTGTATAGGATCTTAATTGGCCTAAGCACACTTCATTGCCAGCTGCTGCCCAAAATTATGATTTTGCCTTCTGACCTTGTCAGCAGTCAGATCAGCTTGCCTTTTTTTTTTTTTTTTTTTTAATTCCTGGGTCAGAGTTCATTTGGATCAGTAAACTAATCTGACTTGACACATGACTTCACGATTGTTACTGCAGGCACAACAAAGGCAGTTAGTAGGGTGAGCCGGTCCCTTGCAATAATGTGGAACCTTAAGTTGACTTAAGCCAATCCAGAAATCACATAATCCGCCCAAAACTGCAAGCTGGAAAAATTCTCATTTAACCTACTTCAACTCCTTATCTACTTTTAAAGTTGCTTGGTAGTCTGTGATTCTTTCTTTGTGTATGTTTGGAGTAGACCTAGTTTAAGTAGCTTGCAACTCATGTCTTGTCTAAGTTTCGTTGGAGTCCAGGAATTTTGAATTCCCTTGAAAAGGCTGTGTTAACTTGTGTTCTTGAACACCCCGAATGCTGATCGTCAGGATAGGGCTACTGTAAATTGTGGTTATGTGTTTGCCTACGGGGAAAGAAAGGGTGCACAGAAAGAGGTTGCTCTTTGGTACGGTTCCTGTATTGCCCCTGAGCCTGAGGGGATTCAGAGCTCCATCTTCTAGGAAAGCATCCCAAAGACCAGAGGGTTATATTGTTGTGTGGGGGTCATTTTTCATTGCTTCTCTTTGAAATTATGTTACTGTGGTAAAGAGAGAAGGAATAAAATCCAGTGTCCTTGCTGGGACACTCGCTTTGGAGGCGGGAGGAGTCATAGATTTTTGTTCCCAGGACTGTTTCTTTGTTTTTATCCGAGCACTGTTTAATGTGAAATGCAAGAAAATGCTTATTTTTTTTTCTGACTTTATACGCAGTTTAGCTTGCGTTGTTTAACAGCATGTAGTTAGAGTTCTAATTATTCCCTTTAGTATTTCTGAATAACATCTTTATTCAAACACAGAAGTCTTCTGTTTTTAATGTCAGCCTTTGAACATAATGATTTATATATGCTTGAAATGATGTAGAAAATATTTCTGTGAAGAAGCTTTTTCAAAGACCTCCTGTTTTATAGAAGCCACTCCTTTAAAGCAGGCAAGGAAAACTATTCTTCTTCTGAAGACTCTTCAATATTATGATTGAAATAAACATGTGTATGGTCATTCATCTCACTGAAATAATTCATGTATAATTTGACATAAGAGTGTAGGTCAGGAGAGTCATGAATGAAGCATAGCACGGAGATTAGACTTTGCTTGGCAAGAGTTTCTTAACAGCTTGATCTGAGAACTTTATGTATTTTAACGTTATAATTTCAGTGGAGGAATAACTTACCTCATATCATACAGTAAAGTTGTATTCACTAAATGAGCATTATCTTCCCCTGCGAGTTGCATTGACTTGTATTGTCAAACTGCCTTCTGAATGTTCTTTTCCTTTAAAAGTGATCAGTATGTGAAAATAAAATTGATTGCAAAGTGACGGTATGTGTTTGTGCTGTGTTTATAATGCATACCAGATTTTATAGTAAAATATTTTAAACTGATCTTTCTTTGCCTGGAAAACTAGTTAAATTTGCGTAGTGAATTAGTTGAACACTTACAGGGATTTTTGAGTTTTGTTTCTGAGAGGAATTTATTGAAAATTTACCTCTCATGTCTTCAGTTTGTAAGCCTTCAGGGTGTTTTTTCTGATGACAGTTTCTTTTCGCATTCTGGAGCAATAGCAGGAAGATGCATCCTCTGATATGGGAAACATTTTATTAAAAGGCGATGTGGAAGCTGCTTGTTGTGTAACTGCAGAAGTCCCTGGGCATGTTTCTTTCACCCTCCTTTCAGTCTGTCCTTCAGATGGTCTTGGGAAGCATCCTTTCTCTTAAACAGTCCTCTGCAAATAGGTTAAGAAACGTTTTGGTCTTGACGCATGCTTTGCCCATACATAAATTTGTTTCCGTCTCTAGCGTTTTACAGAGACTCGAGCAGTTCTAAATGCCTTCACCTGGTCCCTAAATACCTAAACTTATTTCTGTGCTTATGAGTGAAATATATCAAATTGCTTTGTACGTGCGGTGAGAAGTTCAGGGAATTTTTCTACCTTTGATCTTGTGACACGAGAGGTATAAAAATATGAACATTGTGTAGCTTGCTGTAGGGGATCATCTCTTACCCAGCTAGTCTAGAGTACTGTTCAATAATGGGAGATGATCTTCTAGAGTAAGGTACGAAACCTTAAGTTATTATGGTTGTGAGATTCTGTTTTAGGTAAATTTTAAAAGACCTAATAATTGTTAAGTTGCTAAAATGTGCGGCGTGAGGTTCGGAGTTTCTTTCACAGAATTGGTAGCATCGCATATGGACAACAACATCTGACATTGGTAGTAGTTAATTAGGTGCTTGGGTGCTTTTCTTTTTTGCTGTCAACAGCATTTTATTTAATTTGTTGTTCTGTATCCCTGAAAGTTTTATCTATACGTACATTGGAGCGTGCAGCTGATGATACAAATTGGGACGTTTCAGACAAAAAGAATAATTGAGTTCAAAACTCGAACGACTTAAAATTTCAGCATCTTAAAATGCTATCTTTATCCATTTTCGTTAGCATGAATGTTTGAATTGCGCTTAGATTAGCTATGGTTTAAAAACTTCACATCTGCTCTGTCTTTCAGAGAAAGTAGAGCATGATAACTGCAATATTACTGTTCTTGGCTTAAATAACTGAAAATAGCAAGTTGATGTTACTTTCTTGCTTATTTGGGCAGATCATAAATTGAGCTCTGTTTAAGTTTTTCTGTAAGAGACATTTGTTTTCTACAGATGAACAGCTCAGTTCTGTAAGGAAGAAAATACATTCATTATTATCAGCAGTGAAAATTCTTGCCTTATATCTGTATTAAAAAAAGCTCACAGAAGGTTACTTAAAAGTATGGACTATGTTACTCTCAGTTTGTGTGGCTGTTATAGCCGAGGTACAGATATTGGGCAAATATAACTTCATACAAGTGATTTATTTTGATGATGAGAATTTTGGCAAAACTTGGTGTTGTTTCATTTCCTTTTTAATGTAGATTATCAAATGATCATACTTTAGGCTAACAGTTTTCCCTAATTTTTCATTGTAGAGAAATTTTTCATAGTAATAATGCAGAAATAATTGAGAAAGGTAACTTAAGACATAGGATATGAAAATGCTCTAGGTATTTCTTGGGCATAGAAAGAAAAATTTCCTGCTTTTATGATTTGCATATAGTATTTTTCACTTGCAGAGTTGTTGAGACCTGCAGTTTTCTTTTTCACCGGAAGCTCAATAGTACAAATTTAACTTGTTAATTTCTCTCATGGAGAAAACTTTTCTTAAAAAGAGATTCTTCTCGAGTTCAGCTTTTGTTATATTAAATAGGAATGTTGGCTGTATGTTTTCCTATTATGGAGTAGATATACTTCCAGTGAATAAAGCCAGATCCAAGAAAGAACTATAGTGCCTGAAGTCTGAGTTGTTATAGAAGAATCCACTGTCAGTAGTTTTCACTAAAATTGCTTCCTTTTTTTCTGTCTGATGTTCCCTCATTTCTGCTTATGTGTCTATTTGTAATAATGATGGAGCATCCTATTTGAGTCTTCATTATACTGATAAGTAAAAGCATCACTGTGACACTAGCAGATAACGTGACGCTATTAGTCCTGAACAAGGAATTTGCTGAGACCCTGCAGGTTTGAGAGTGGGGACAGAAGTTTTGAGAGTGTGGACGCTTATCCGCGTTCTCCTCCCTGCCTTCTGCGAATATCTGACCTTCCACTCATTTTATGGGAGGTCTGGGACATGTCTGCATTGTGCAGTTATATGGCATGGAAGCCGCTGGATGAAGCTGGGGGTCCTGGAACTCCTGCTCATCTTTTTCATACCCCTTCTGGAGCACAGAACCTCTTCCAGTCCTTTTCCTTACCTACTTTTTACCTGGGTATCACCTGCCCCATGTTTTGGTTTTGCTTTGCGCTGTCCTTCTCTGGTAGAGAAAGGAGTGGTTGAGTGAGAGAGGAGGTACATCAGGGTTAAAATTCTTGCTAGAGGCTAGAAACTAACAGAGCACTTGGTTAGAAGGGATTGTTATGGGTTCCAGTCATCTCTCAGGACTGCATGCTTTCATGTCCTTTAGACAAAAAATAACCTGGCAAAGGCTTGATGCGAGCTTTAAATGTATTACAGAAAGGTAACCATGTCAAACTGCGTATTTGATTCATATAATTGAGAAAAAAAACACAGATCAACAAGCCTACCGCATTTGAATACTTCAAAACACTGTCCTTAAGAACTAATTCTTTCTTTTGCAGCTGCAGCCGCCTTCGACATATTCAGAGTATCCTGACACAGAGCAGCAAGTCTCAACCTGACGGAATCCTTTGCATTTTAGGTTAGTTTTTGCTCTCTCTCTCTCTCTGTCTCTCTCTGTCTTTTTTTTTTTCCTTTTGTCCTCACTGTACTGATAAAGATGCCATGAAAGATGAATGTCATCTCTTCCTCCTCCTCTGCCCCCTACCTTCCCAGCCTATTTCTCAATGAGGACACCTATCTGCTACTCTTTTCCCTCTAAATAATTCATTGGTCTATTTACTAACTTCAGGCAAACTTGCTAGTATAGTAATAATTAATGTTATCAACATTCTTCCAAGCCTTATGAGAGTTAAGTGGCTGGATAGACGATAGACTCTTTATCAGTGTCCGCGTTGGAGGAAAGATGGGGAGAACTTAACCGGTATCTATTTGGAGTAAGCAGTCGGTTGTCCAGGCAGCGTTTGTATTCTAGCTGGCACTTCAGATAAAAGCTGAAGGCACATGCGCTGTGGCTGGTTCTGCCACATCTCTGGGGTAGTGGAAGGGACTAGAAGGTGCTGTGTGTGTTTGTGAGACTTGGTAGGTTAAGGGACTGGAGAATAATTTAGGAGAGCCAAGGTTAGGGATCCTGATATGCAGGGCTGTTGAGTATGGTGTTCAGGAACAGGCTTGTCTTGCAAGAGATGCATGAAAATGTGCAGAAAAACTAGCGGAATTAATACAACCTGAATTTAGGGGAAGAGATGCTTATGACCCTTGGGAGAAATAATTCAAAATGCATTTTAAAAGCCATGTGAGAAGCCTGGGCAGCAGTTATGACTTAAATGGCAGCACCTAAAGACCGTGCAATTTCAGTGCTTATTTATTTAATTCTGAGGGTAGGGGAGAAGAGTGATGCAAAACAAAGCTGTACATGCAAAGTGCTGTAGGGAAGTAACAGGCTTTTCATACAGCTTTAGTGTTATTTTTGTGTGTAACATTGGCTTTTATTTCTAAATATATAATCGTTAACAAGATAAAGAGAATTTCAAGAATGACAATGGGAATACCTAGAGAATAGGATTAGGGAATGATTATGCAGATTATGTGGTAACACTTTAAATTTTCCATTTAGTGTAGCCCTAAAGAAGTTTATGAGGAATAGTAGGTTTTGCATTAACATATGATACAACAGATAACTTGCTGCAATAGCTTGTTGTATTTTTTTGTATGGCATAGCAAGAAAACTTGAAGAAGCTTATTTACTGCACGATGAAAAACTGGTAGACGCTCAGAATCTTATTCTATTTTGATAGAAGTTGGCTGTATAACAAGACTCTTTCTATTCCCCATGCTCTTCTGTAATAGTTTCAGAAAGTTTTTTGGTTAATGAGTAACTTTACCAGCTAGAAGTTGTATATGGCGACAGTGTGGCAACCGTGCAACAACACTAAATTGTACAAAATAAAAGTACTTGTTTTTGATGCCAGTCAAATTTTGTAAAATTTATAATGAGTTGTGTCGACTTTTAACTCTTTCCATATATGTATAGTACTCCTTGACTTTTGTTAATTCTGAAGCTGCGTTAAATCCCAGGCAAAAAACAGTCACTCAAAATATTGCTTAAAAGATACCGTTTCTATGGCTTTAGAGAAAACATTACATGCAAAAGGAATCCTTTTCTTTAAGCCTCAGTGTAATGTGGAGTATTTAAAACCATGCAGAAGACCGTGCCTCTTAATAAATAAGCATTTCTGTTATGGAAATATATGAAGTGTGTTTTTTCGTTAGACTTGTTCTTTGTACTAATCTCTTTCTGTACCCACAATGGGACTGTTGTCTAATCTGACCTGTCTAATGTAGGCTGTAGAATTTCCCACGTAACTTCTGGTCTAGCAGCAGCATGTCTGTTGTAAAGGCATTAAGTCCATCTTCACATGCAAGCTTCAGATGACAAAGTTGAAATATTCTTATGTCTTGAGTCCTTTTGTTTTTTATGGAAACCAGATAATCTTCTATACTTACTTTTTTTTTTTTTCCAGTCAGCACACGTTGTATTTCACTTTGCTAGTTTTGAGTACTTAGAGTTAACAACTCCCCCCTTCCCCTTTAATTTTATGTACTGGGCTATAAGATAAAACAATATAAACTCTGATAGCTTCACTTCAATTAGATTGATATGTATACTGAAATTAGGAACAGTTTGGAAAGATGCCGGGGGGCAGGGGGAGAACTTAAGCTTGATACAATTACTTAAAAGTAGTTGCAGCTAATTTTTAAAGACTCCTATGTTTCTTATTTTAAAACGGTTGAATGGTAGCATGTGTGCATTCTTTACCAGAGAAAGAATTACATCACAGCTGACACAAAAAAGAAATTTGGAGGTGGGGAGAGAGATGTATGTCAGACATGTCTTTAATAAAGTTGTAGCATCAGATTCTTCTAGAAGCTAGAGTTTGTTGCTGTTCGAGTTGCTAAGAAAACAGTATTTGAAACTACCTAAATTATACCATAAGCTGATGGTATGTGTTTGTTTTTTAAGCAGTGGCATTTCTCGCCTCTTACCTTTTAACAAAAATTTATATCTCACCCTAAAGTTGCTCTGGTATTTGAGGATATACATTTAGTTTTAGTATGTCTTATCTATAAAGCTAGCAATAGTAATGTATAAGCTTGATGAAAATTACACAGGCAATTGATTGTTTTGACTGTAGATGGAACTTGATATCACAGGTCAGCCTAACTAAGCTAAATTTTTACTGATCTTGATATTTACTTTCTCCTTTCCTCAGAGAGGACAGGAACATTTTAGAGCCTGCGTCAATAAATCTTTGTTATCTCAGCTTTGTTCATGTGTTACTACTTGTTTATGGTCAGGGTTTTCTCTGATTGTTTTGAGTTGATACGGGGATTCTCATGTTACATTGCTCAAGATGAGTATTCCTGATGGAGAGAGTTCTGTGTTTCTCTTGATCGAGGTCTCCGCATCTTTCTTGGGTAGCCTTCCTTCCATAACAGGGACAATTTCATCTGGCTTTCTTGAGAAGTTTTATCTCTTTGAGTTTTGTAACTAGAAAAGGTACATAGCACTACAGATTGGCATGACCTAATTGTCAAGAAAAACACAGAATGTTACCATATCAAAAACGAGTTCACATGAATCGTTCAGCGCTTTACAGCATCCCTTCTTTTACAAGTTTTTTAGGAAATGTCTGTCCTACATAGAGCTACTGCTCTTAGGATGTTTAGTACCTTGAACTGCTTGTTCATCCCATTCCCTGTCTAAATGGAGACTGTTTTAATGATTAATGTGCATGTCTATTAAATGGCTGTTTCACAATTGCAAAATGGCTTTGGCGGCTGTCAGAAAGTGATCTGTCCGTTCTCTCCAGCCTTGCCTTCCTGCTAGCCTCCCACCTTGTGTCCCTAGAGCTCACACAGCTGTTAAGGGGTTATGAAATAACTATTCTTCATTGTGGTGAACAGGGAATGTCAAAAATGCATGGCTAGGACAAAGAGAAAGCAAGCATGTTCTTTTACATGTAGATTATGTTTATGTCAGCTTAGCAACTGGTGCACAAGCGCATGAGGTGGCTGAGCCCTCTCAAATACTTTCTGTCTCAGAAAAGGGTAGTCTCAACCTGTCTTTAGATTGCTCCTCTTCTCTCCCCATATGCGTTTTGCATCAGTTCTGGTGCTTGTTTGCTCTCGTCTACTGGATCCATCTTACTGACCTGGCAGAATTTTTCCGTACTTGGCTGAACTAGTTTTCTGCCAGCTGTTAGCAAACTGAATCAGCTCCCCGAGAGGTCAGATAAGCACTGAATGCAGGAAAAGGAGTAGGAATGGCTCCTTGAGCAGCAGTGGGCTGCTGGATAGACTGAGTCATTGTCTACTATGCCCTTGCGATGAGCTGGGAAAGACTGGGAGTTACTAAACTTGCACAGCTCAGCTGGAGCCAGGTGTGTGGGGTTTTCCTAATTAACAGCTTTCCCCATTGTTCTGTTGAGGACTCTTGATATTGCTTTCTGGAGGTATCTTATCTTTGTCACTATTTCCTGTTTATGTTCTGCTAAATGTATCTCTCCATTTAACTGCATATGCTCCTGCAGAGTAGTAGTAAAGCCTGGGTGTGATAAATCCTGTCTGTATCGGATACTAAAAAATCGAGTGTTCTATGAAGTTGTTGGTTTTACAACACACTGGTACCTTCTCTGCTAGCCTTGTGTGCTCTGCAGGCAATAAATTCACCCGTATCCTGTTTTTATGTTAAGCTTATCAGCTGCCCCTTTGTTAACATCTTCCTTTTGTCTTTTCTTCCCCCTCCTTCTCATGTATTAACTGCCTTTCTTTTTTTTTCTTTTTTTTCAGTTTAACTGAAAAAGCAGAGGTTTGATATTTCACCTTGAAAATCTTTTCTGTTTCAAGTCTGAAGAAGAGCTGATGCACCTGGATGCTTGCTCTCAAACTCTTCCAGTGATGGCTACATCTTAATTTTTTTTAAGAACAATTTCTTACTTGTCTTCTGATCTTCTAGTCTTTTTGTTCCTCTATCTTTTTTTTTTCCCCCCTGTTTCACTATGTGTAACTGTGTTAGCCTGTTCCTGAGCATGCTGCCTTGACTCTTTGGAGTCCCTAGCAATGGACCTGATAGGAAAAAATGCAGATATAGTGAGAGGGCCACTTTCATCCATGGCATTTGGACTATGGTTGAGGGTATCTTGTTAGATTAACATTTGAGTTGATAGATGATGTTTGCTTGTGAAACATTAGTGAAGGCTAAGAATGAGCTCTTACAGAACAACTGATCTAACAGCTTGCTGTCACCAGAAGGGACTGTCCTAACTGCTGCTTTGCACTAGAGTGGATGCTTATCTGATTGCTTTCCAAAGCTGCTTCAGTTAGGCAAGCGAGCAGTAAACCAGATTACGTGCAGGACCTTGGGTGCGCTAGCTTTCAGAATGCCGTGACTGATTTCAGGGTGGCTGAAGATGTTTAAATGGAGTTCCCTAGAACAATGGGATGGTTGCTTCCTGGAAAAATGGCATTTGACTGTAACTGAAGTCCTACCTTGAGACGGGGAGCTTTGATATCAAGATCTGTGTATGGAGTCCTTTTGTGTTCTAGGCTGTGCTGGCACATCTGGTTTTGGGGGGGGCTACGTAAGGGAGTTTTCTCTCCCTCTTTCTCTTTTTAGTTTCCAGATCCAGGTCAGTCTTGTTATGCGGACAGTAGGTATAGCAAAGGTAGATCATTGTAGCAGAAGGGAAAAAATGAGTGGCTGGCTATGAGACTTTGCACACCTTCTATGAGATGCCTTCTGGAAGAGAACTGTGGCTTGTTTTAAGGAAAGTGTATTCTGATGAAGTGTATGTAAATGGAAAAAAAACCTGCTAGAAGCTAGATAGCAGCGGAATAAGGATTCTGAGATCTTGCCAGAAAAGTTTTTTTTTTTTTTTTTTTGAGGGGTGAGAAAACTAGGTTAGGTATTATGTAGTTTCTCAAGGCCTCAACACAGTTTAAGGAATGCAGCTTACTAGTTAGTGTGCATTACTGGTGCTTATAAAGCCCTGAAGGGGGGACAGAATTACAGAGGTTCTGTAGCTTCAGCACAATGCAAAGAGAAGGCTGTAGGCACTGCAAGTCTTGGTAGATCGAGACAATGGATTCAGCTCTCTCTCTTCTGCAGGATTGGACCTGGTACCTGATACCTTGGAACATGTGTTATCCAAAGACCAATTACTAAGTGAACAAGGGTGCTTAGTAAGATATGGGATTCAGTAGTTGGACACAAACACAGCATCTGGTTGGCACTCTGAAGCTGAAGTATAAAAAGGGGATATAATCGGGAAAGCTTATGGTTTGTTCCAATTTCAAATGTGTTGAGGTGACTCCTAAGTAGTTTGGTTTCTGATGTAACTTCTGAAACTCAGATGTCCAGGCTGTGCTATGACATACTGTTGCCCTGATCTCTTGCTTGGACAGTGTTAACAAATCTTGATTGTGTATGTGTGTTGGGTGGTGGTGGTTGTTGTTTTTTTTTTTTTCCAGCCACCCAATTGTATCCTTATATAACTTGGTAGGAAAACTTAATGCTTATGAGAAATTTTGTCAAGACTGGTGACTGCTGACCTGTGTGCATGTGAAGATGCTGTTTCTTGCATAGTTGTAATTGTGGAGAAAACTGGATTTATTACATTAGAATTAAGTGTAAGGATTTATGCCTGTGTGTATTGATGGTCTTACAGAAAGATGAAAAGATTCCCTACGTCTGTGGACCGTTACCTTTTTTCTTCTTTTGTTTATATATCGTCTGTCTCTCCTTGCTCTGGATCTTCAGTTTGTTTTGTTTTATTTTTCTAACAAACAGAAAAGGCTTTCCTTGGAAGTCTTTTATATGCCGTATGTTTTTCCAAATATCTTTTACTGATTGTTAGAAGTCTGCACTGGCTTTCTGGTGATTCAGAGATTGCAATATAATACTTATAAAATAATGTTTAATCACGTATTCTCAATCAGGAGATTTAGGTCACAGGATAAGTTTATTAGGAAGCTTCAATGAAGAACTTCTGTTGCTTCATTACACTACAGAAAGCTAAATTTTATTTTAAGCAGTGCCTGTGGATTTAGGTCAAGAGTGAAATGTCAGCGTGTAGCAATGAATTTGCAAAAGCTCCCTTTTCCGTTGCCTGTCTTCCCAGTATGTTGGAAATAAGCGTTCACAGAGTACGAGAGAGGTTCGGTTAACGTTCCTATCTAAACAGTTTCCTTATTAGGGAAGAACACAAACTTTTCAGGAGTACTGTGTTGGGATACACATTTCATATACCGTTTACTTTTGCAGGAATTGATAGTCGATACAATGAAGGTTGCAGGGAACTGGCAAACTATCTGCTTTTTGGCTTGTATAACCAGAGTAACAACGACTTTGAGAGAACTGGATTCCCTGAAGAAGTTCTTGATGGTGAGTAACATAATGAGCCTTTTCACCTGTTTCTCCGCTTTTCTGGAGGAGGAGGAGTCAGCCAAAGGGGCATAGATAATTCAGTTATCAGTGAATTAAAAAACAAAAAGTCAGTAAATCTCCTAACTGTGAATATACAGCTGATAAACTGATTTTAAAAGAAAGAAAAATTTTTACTTCCCCTGCCAAATTCCCCCAAGTGTTCTAAATATAGAGAAATATGTATAGAAAATACAGAGAAATACAGCCCATTAGTAGAAATCCTAGTTCAGTCATATATATACACCTGTTATCAGTTATTGTACGATCAAACGTGTGGAGTTCTGAAATACTTGAGTTAATCTGTGAAAGTAAAAGAACCCCTCAATTTTATATTTGAAAGATGGCCAGTTATCAGGGTCATAGATTATTCCCTTATTTGCATAAAACCTTGACTGTCTATTCTATTTTTAGATTGGATATGCTGTTACGGTAGTTTTTAATAGGAACAAGCTCTTGATGTAACGTCAGGCAGGGGCAAACGCAGTTAACGTTTTTATGTTCTGTAAGTGCTCATCGCTGACACTCTTGGCTTTCAACGCACAGGCTGATGCAAGTTCTAAGTAAGACTTTAGACTAAACCCACAATTGTTTTGAACAGTAAAAAGTACTGTTGTACTTAGAACTGTATATGGCTGCCAGCTTTTTATTAAAAAGAAAAAAGAAACAAAGCAAGTGGGATGTGTCATAGGAAAAGTGTATTCTATTCTGTTTCTGTGGGGTTTTTTGTGCCTGCATAAGTCTTCTGTGTGTGTATTCTTGATGCTGGAATGAAATCTGTTCTGCTTGTTGCAGATATAATCATATTAATAAAACCTGACAGTGTTCATCTATACTGTAACCCTGTGAATTACAGTCATCTTTTGCCATATGTGGCCTATTGGAGGAACTTGCATTTTCACTGTCTAACTGAAAATGAGGTACGTGGGAGATGAATGTACATGAGAACTGCATGTCTGTAATATCTTGCTAATGAACTGATACTCGAAGTGGAACTTTTTTTTTACACTTCTTGATGACTCCCTCCCCTCTTCTCCCCGCCCCTCATATTCTCGAGTGATGTGCTTCTATTTATATTAATCATTTTGTTAACATGTGCACAAATAATACATTTTAGTAGTTTGTATTTGATGGAGCATGAAGACAAATGCTTTTCCCCCCACTAATTGCTATTGCTTTGACTTGAGGCGATGATCTTTTAATGAGGAAAAAAACACGTGGAATGTGAGAAAAGTAGAATCTGAATCAAGTACTATAGTCAACAGTGAAATTTCCAGTGATAGTCTTACTGGTGACCAAAGTAGCCTGTTAATGCATTGTATGCATATAGCTTTAGAAGTTTAGAAAAGATGGGCTTAGTAAACCATTTAAAAACAATAAACTTTGTCATATATTTTCTTTTGAATTTTCAAGTCTTCCTTTCAAGAGCTATTAACCTCAGTAAGGGAAAAAAGCTGAGTTCTATCATTTATTTTCATTGGACTGCAATTACTAGATGCGAATTTCCTTTTCATTTAAAAGCAAAGGTATTCCTAGAAGAACTAGATATAGCATAGTAAGGTAATGTTAGAGGAGTCAGAATGAAAATGATTGTTCTCCACTCTCTGGTCCTGATTCTTTGTGCTCTGGATAACGTAAATGAAGCTGGTAGGCAACCAGTTGTTCAGCTGCCAAGGCTCTGTGTGTTTGCAATATTACGAGGCAGGATGCTATTGCCAGCCGCATGCTGCTCTGCAAGTAGCTCTTGTGCTCATCTAGGCACAAATTAAGAACCTTTTTATTCCAGCTGAGACTGGAGATGGTTCTTCCTTACTCTCCTTCAGGCAAGCCTTTTTTCCCCATTAGGTTCTGTGTAGTTCCTTTCCTAAATTAGAATGACACTTAAATCTGAAGGAGGTGGGTTAGAAGGCTATGTTGTGAATGGGTGAAACGGATGAAAGAGTGAATGGGGAGGGCAGGAAGAGAGGCCTTTTTTTCTTCCCCCCCCACCAACCCCCCTGTATTCTCCTCTTCTGTAGGCTGAACAAGCCCAGCTCTCTTGGCCTTTTCTTCAAGGGCAAGCGCTCCATCTCCCTTTTTACCTTAGCAGCCCTCCGCTGAACCCGCTCTGATTTGTCAATGTCTTTCTTGTATTGTGGCTCCCAAAAGTGGACGGAGTATACTAGATGTGGTCTCATGAACATAGAAGGAGATACTGACTTCCCTTGATCTACAACCCAAGATGCTGCTAGCCTCCTTTGCTGCTAGAGCACACTGTTGGCTCGTGTTCAGCTTGCCGTCCACAAAGCTTCCCCTGGTCCTTTTCTGTAGAGCTGCTCCCCAGCCAGTTTTTCCCCAGCCTGTGTTTTTTTCCATAATCCTTGTTTGCCAAAAGGATGTATATCCAACGGCAAAATCTAAAGATTGCCTTTGTAAGGCTTTTCTGTTGCTAAAAGCTTACTGTAAAGGGCAGATCTTGTATACCCTGAAGGCGATCAAACCTACGCGTTTTGGAATCAAGAATGGAGTAGTGCTTAAACTACTATTGCTAGTGTTACTGCAGTAAGTAGTTATAAGTCTGTTTAAGCTATTCAATTTGAAACTGCATCTGCTTTTGGGCTTTTGTATAGTCTGTGGGGGTAAGTAGTAACCAACTACTAGAAAGGTTAACCAAGTGTATTGCTGTGTCTGGAAACTGTAAAGGGAAGTGAATACAAAAACTTGAGGTTTCTGGTGCTGCAAATAAAATACTTCATTATTGCTTTATGTGAATGTCAGCTGTGAGTGCCCTTCATGTTACATTTCTAATGTATAGAAATTGCCAGTTTCCTAGATTACTTATGACACGTGGTCAATAGAAGATTGCTATGTCAGCCTTTTAGATCCATTCCGCTGAAAGGAAGCGTTGCCTGTAGTGGTTTTTAAGCAGATTTTTTTTTTTCAGTGATAGAAATAAGTTTTACTTGCTTTTATATATAAGTGAAACAAAAAACCTCAGAGCTTTAGAAATAGACAAAGCAATGCCATGTCTGTTGCCATGTAGTTGTTTATGAATCCTTAAAAAAAACCTATTGCCTCTCCTTCTTTCCTTCCCTCCTATTTAGCTTTAACTGGACTATGAGTGGTTAAGAAAACATGCTAGTTAGTGGAGGACTATTAATGAAGCTATTATTGAAGAATGTCCATTTTCACAATGGTCAAATAATATAAAATAACACATTTTGTGTACTGTTTAACATTTCTGGCTATCATGGCTCTGTACCATTTACAGAATTGTCTCTATTTATACCTGTAATAGCAGATAGTTAGTGAGCAAGCTTCTACCGTCTTGCCAAAAAAGAAGTTCTTATTCGGGTGGTATTTTACGTCTTGAGGAACTGGCAGTTCTTTGAGGCTGGCTTTAAATTGAAACTTTGATCTAGCTTCCTGGGACTGGGGAAGGAAAAAAAGGTAGTAACTTGGGCTGCATCTTAAATTCCGGCTTCTTTTAAAGTAACTTGTTCCAGCATAAGTTTGTTGGCTGTACTCTGAAGCTCAGATGATCTGTATACAAATGAAGTTCATAGTCATGTAATTTATCTCAATGTTATTCAGTGCATAGTTCAGAGTAATGTACATCAAAAAAAAGTAAATAAAACACCAACTGCCCTCTGATCTTGGTCCAGAAAGCAAGTCGCTTGAAATAGGTTTTTCCGCAGTGGCAGTTTTTTGTGGCACGTCAGTTGGTATTCTCAGAACATTTTTAGTCGTCTAAAGACAGCCCAGAATCTAGTAGGTGATGTTCAAAGACTTCACTGAAAATTGAAAATAATGTATTTGCGCTTTTATAAAACACTTCCTATGAACTTTGGTTTAAAAAAAAAAAAACTGTCTCATTTGGCTTGAATACACCCCTGCCATGATAGAGTTTACGAAATACAAAGACTAAAGAGGCTCTTTAACTTCTGGGAGCTGTAGGTAATACATTAGTGGATTATGACGAGTGATATTTGCCAGTGAGTTAAAACTATACTATGAATGTGCTCTTTAGAATAAAACTACCAATCAGATTAGGTATGCCTAATGAAATTTAATTTTAAATGACTCTTTCCAGTATGAAGATGAAGAAGCTGCTGAGGAATTCAAAATTTCCAGCTTTGTAGACATGGTTCGAGACTGTAGTCGAATTGGTATTCCATACAGCTGCCAAGGTGGGTTCGCATGTTTTATGCTTAGCATAAGTGTTTCGCAGCATGCGATTCATGTGGTTCAGTGAATGAAGATTTCCTTGTCTTTGGTAAGAAATCACGAGTAACATGCCGTTGATTCTTTTTGTTGCTGTTGTTGTTTTTTTTGTTTAACTGGAGTTTTTTCTTTTTGAAAAATGTAAGCTGTTAGACTTCATCTGAGGAGTGAATGCTTATAGCATGAGGCAAAGAAATAATTTGCATTCAGAGGAGTGTTCTGCTACATACAGAAGTTCTCTGTTCAGATGGGAGCTTCAGATAAATACTTTAGGGAAAGAAAAAACATTTTGTTATGCAAGTTTCCTTTTTTAGCACTGAAAAGACTGGACTGCATGACTTCCTGTTATGATCTGTAGCCAGCCTCGCAGTCTGAACGATGTAATCTTATATTGTTTAGTAAAGTGTACTTTGCAGTATCCAAGCAGTGAATAATGCAAAAGCAGTGCATGCATGTGCTTTGCTGTCTAGCATGCTGGGTTTTTGAGCCATAGTAGGTGAAATACAAATTAAAAAAAAGGTGATTTTTTTTGTTTGTTCGTTTTGAACTACGTAAGTTCAAGCTAAGCTAATTCAGTTAGCTTTGATTTCTCACTAACTCCATATTTACTCTCATAGCTTAAAAAGCAGAATTTCTTAATTGCTTCTCTTGAGGGAAAAAGTGGTATGTCCTGATTGCCTGGAAAATCATTACTGGGGTGGAGGGGAAGGGATGGAGCTTCTTTTAGGAAGTCTGTAAGAGAAAGGTGTATGGTTTAAGGATGATAATTGCACTTCAGTTTAGATGGCTTATAGCTTTGCTGGTGAGCACTGAGATACCAAGCTGAATAGTGTGTGTTTGTTTGTTTGTTTTCTTTTTTTCCCCCCTAACTCAACCTAAAATTCTGATTAAAATGGGATCTGAACTTAATGGCAAATACTTGAAGAAATTGGAGTAAGCAGAGATTTCTACTGCATTATTTTGAGAATTTTAATGGGCACAGTTTTACTAACGCTTTTGGGATGAAATTTGCAAGGAGGAGAAGTATCTCTTTCTAGCTGAAAAAAGGACAAAATTTGAGGTGGAGAAAGGATTCTTCAAATACTATCTTCTTCACCAAAATCTGTTCTTCAGTTAAAGATTTTTAGATTGTATGAGCAAATAGGATATTTGAGGTCCTTTTTTAGAATCCTTTAGGATGTTAGCTGTAACATCTCATAGAAAGTTAATAAACTGCCAGTGTTTGAGATCTGTGGAATCTCTCTTTTACAGGTCATCTACAGATATTTGATATGTTCATTGTTGAAAAGTGGCCAATAGTGCAGGCTTTTGCACTGGAAGGAATTGGGGGTGATGGCTTCTTTACAATGAAATATGAAGTAAGTAGTTACGTTTTCCGTTTTCTTTTCTTTCTTAAGCAGAAGTAGATTCATGGAATAGTTTTGGTTGGGAAGTACCTCTTGAGATCATCTAGTTCCAGCCCTCTGCTTGAAGGAGGGCCGACTTCTAAGTTGCAAGAGGTTGCTCAGGACCTTGTCAAGCTGAGTTTTGAATATCCAGGGATGGAGATAGTACGCTCTCGCTGAGAGACTGGAATGAACTATGTGACATTCTCTCCTGGATCAATGATTCTTTTATTTTTCTGTTTTCCCTCCCGTGATTTAGAACTTTTTCCCTTATCTTCTAAACTTAGAACCTCCTCTGCCAATAACAGAAAACTCTAGGTCTGCTAGATGGTGATAGATCTTCAAGAGCAGCTTAAGAGAAGCTACTTAGTCACAAATACTTGAAAATAAACTAAGAAGTGACTGTATTTCTTGGGTCATTGGTTCTGACTCAACAAATGTATCTGATTTTCTCATGCACGTTATATATTCTTGGGTCATTGTGACCTGCTAAATAGGGTAATAGACAAGATTTTGGATGATGCTTCTAGTTCTAACAAGGATTTGCTATTCCACTGTGGGCAATTTGCGTCATTTGTTTTTTCTGTTTATTAAATATACTGTAACAGCATCTTCAGAGAAAAGCTTCGCATAGAAGTATTTACAGCTGCTTTTATTTCATTTTCTGCGACCTCTGGCACAGACATGCAGGTGTTGTGTTCCTTTTGTTACTCTTCCATTTTTTCGGCTGGAACATTGTTTTTTGATTGTCAGAATTCAGACAAAAACAAGGAGTTAATGTTGCCATTGTGTGAAGAGTATCATCACATGCAATACTTGCACACTTGCTCAAAACTCCTTTGTGAGTTAGTGTTCCTGTCTCTTCCTGAGCTATGTACTCTTTCCACTGAGATTTTTCTCTGTACATTATTTCTTCACTTCACGACTAGTACTGTAACAGTATTGCTCTGTAAACCTGTCAAAATCATTAGATGCAACGCCTAAATAGGTAAGCGTTCTGATGGAGATCTGGCTAGGTATAGGTAGCCCTACCTGACGGTTCGAAATTAATCGATGAAAACTGGTGTGAATTCAGTGGGAGTTTGGGTCTTAAGTGTAACCCTAGCACAATTTGCCTCACGATTCTATGGAAGTTTTGAGAAAATGTGTAGTTACTATGTGTAATGATAACGTTGGCAAAGGCAGAATGCCTCTTATTTCATTGTAAGGGGCTGTGCTGCTCTCATGGCACTCTTGCCGACTTAAAAAGGACCAATGCAAGTTCTCAGAATCTGTTTTTGAAAGTGTATATGTTAACTCTCATATTTCAGCCGAGTTCCAGCTTGGGTTCTTGCTTTCTTCCTTTCTTCCTCCTTAAAATCATAAGGGGATTTCAAATGGGAAGTGGCATTCTTAACTTTTTACGTAACTGTTTATGCACAGTTACGTTATATCTGTTAAGCAGCTGCTGTATATCACAGATGGTCGGGGAAAACTAATCTCTGTTTTTAGAACAGAAAAGTACGTTTGGGATTACTGTAAAGGATCTAAAAATTAATACTCTTGTGATTATTAAAAGGGGGTGTTCTTAATACATTTTTAGCTCTTAAAACTTACCTTCCCTCTGCTATGCGTTCCATGTTGCCAGAGTTCAAAATAATCTGATGATGATAAATATTTTGTTGTGTGTATTAAGTGTCTTTGCTCTCTTCTACAAAAATGTAGCAGCTAGGAACTGTTTCCTGGGTCTTGTGGTAGGAGAAACATTATATGAAAGTCACAATTGTTCAAGATGCTATAATCCAGAGAATTTATTGTATCAGTAGCTGGCTAGAAATGATGTCTTGGAAATCTTTATTGCCACATTTAATAACATGTGTAATTGGAGTAACTGTGTAGAGCAGTGGTTTAAAGAAAATTCCAGTCAGTGTTGCGTTTCGAATTAATTGGTTGTGGCAATCCTGTAAGTAAATGCAGAAGTTACTCAGATACGAGTGTCCCTTAAGAATACATTTTTGAATAGTCTTCATAGACGTTTTGCGAAAAAAAAGTAATGCTGCTTAGTAAGTTAGTCTAGTATTGCTTAAATTTACATTACGCTTATTGTAAGAATTGACTAGCATGTAGGACTAGTAACCTTGGAATCCCTTTCTTGGCTGTCTTGTCTCAGGAAACTATCTTTCCCTTCTGGCTGCGCCAGCTGATGAGGTCTTTCTTACCTTTTATTAATTATATTCAATTTTGAGAAGCTTTTTGGGAAGTGATTTGTTTGAAAGATGCAAACAAAACTTTATATGTTCTTTAAACTGTCACTTGAGCAGATGAGTCTGTCCATAGCATTTACATCAGATTTGGTCAATTCTTCTGTAACCAGCACTCTAAAACTTTTTAATTTCAGACTTCACAGTACTCTTTGCAGCATTTTTCACAGAAATATGTTTAAAACATTTTTCAGTTAATGGATGTCAGTGTTGACCTGTGGAAAACATACAGCAGAATGGATCCTGTTTCCTTGGAGGACTTGCTCTTTGAGGTAATGCGGGTGAAATCTGCTGAACGAACTACTGTTCTGTTTGCATAGCTGCAGAGCAATTTTGGTGTGTGTGTGTTGGGGGGCATATTCATTTTATTTTTCTCTCTCTCTCTCTTTTTTTTTTTTTAAAGTGTTTACAGACTTAGTCTACTGACTCTGTACGCTGTGGCTTGCAGGATCTTGCAGGGTTTCTTTCCCTTCCTGATACCATCCACCAAGTCTGCAGATCTTCTGTAGAGCCACAAAATAACTTGTCTTGAATTCTGTAAAATTCTTGTAATTCCTTAAAATTCTCATAAAAGATTCCCTAAATGATGTGAATATTCTTCAGACCTTAGTCCTATGTACAGAGCATAGCGTGTTGAGTAGGTTTGTGTGTTTCAGTCCTCCGTTGTGGTAAGGGGAAAGAAATCCCCTTTAACATGCAACCGTTATTCCAGGAGAAAACACTTTCATGACTGCTTCTTAGCTAGTTAAACTGGGTAACAGTGACACACAGTGGCAGCGCTGATGCTTTGTAAAATACAAATGTGAAGTGTAAAGTGATCCCTCGTTTTAATGAGGGGGTCTGATCTCCACGCCAGAAGCGAAAGTGATATGTGTATATTAGTAGATATTTCCTTGTCCCTAAATTCAGTTTTGAGAACTCATGCAACTTCTGCATGCTCTTTCTAATTCCTTGTATTTCTTCTGTTATTCAAAATAAAAAGTTGTTTCAACCTGATCTAGTTTCAGACAAATTTTTGCGTTGGTGGCTATCCCTTGTCTAAATGTAGTTCAGGTATTCAGGAGTAGTGGTTGTTAGTTTTTTCTTCAGTTTTCTAGCATAGCAGCAAAATAGGCTTCTAAAATGTAGCAAGGTCATCAGTAAATATCCTCTATTAATATAAAACATTGGTAGTTTTCCAGCCTATGAGGGTTGTTACAGCTGTTGTTGCAATGAAAACTAAGACATCGTGTTAGTTCGACTTAGATGATTTTAAAAAACATCAGACAGGTCTCTCTCAAAACTTTATAAGGCTGTCAGTTTAAATAGTCACACTGCAAGATACTTCTTTTACCGCTTCCTCTGGAAGTGAGGGAAGTGGTACGTTAAGGATTGTTTGGAGTGCAGACAAACGTTTGGGATTAGGGTTTTTTTTGTACCTCCTAAGTCTACTCTGAAGTAGACTTATTTATATTGTTTTGAAGTTTTTTGAGGCTGAAAGTAGCTGTTAAATAGACTTCAAATTTTCTGAAAAAGGTTAACGGTAATGGATGGGGTTTTCACACTACTCTCATTTCACAGAAATTGGTAATTTTAAAAATGATTCCTTTTCTCAGTAAGGATAAAGTTGTGTGTACTTAAAGAGCATTTGAAGTTCAGATATGTGTTTATATGTTTTTCTTTTTTGGTTAACACAGATTTGCTGTCAGGAAATTCTGATTCTAGCTCTACTTGAGATTTAAAAGAATTAATATTCTGTGCAATATGGACATGTTCTAAATACACCGACAAAAATGCTTTTAGCTCTTAGTTTCCATGAAAAACATATTTGAGGCTAGAATGTTCTACAATTTTAGCTTCTCCCCTGAAATGTAAACCTTATTTTTAAACCACTAATATAACTTTTATTATTATTTTAGAAAACTTATAAGGTTTCATCAGAATTCACTGTCTTAAGTTTCATTCATTACTACGTTAATGAAGTGGTTGAAAATAAATATTCATGCAGTTGCTAGAGTTATAATTCTAGTTTGCTTGTTACAGATCTGAAAAACGCTTCCTAAAATCAGGATGTCTCTCTTCTTCCAAACTAATATGTGACAAGCAGTGAAGTTCATCTTGTGAACGTTTTAAGATTTTGTAGTTCTGTAACGTTCCCGCTTCATCAGCATGATACGCTCTTTTGTCTTTGTTTGTTTTTTTTTTTTTTTTAATTTGAATGCAGTTCTTACCTGTAGGTCATCTTCATTTCCATTCTCTGCTTTAGTGAGGTGCAACTGGTATTTCCTTTTCTGAAAAAAATATAGATAAGTACGTAGTGTGTGTGTAAAATAATATATATATTTATATTAATTTTAACAAAAGCAAGTGAAGAAGTTAATGTGTGCCAGTTGTATATCATGAGCTTCCCAAATTCCCCATTCCTGTTCCTCATCTTCCATCCATAAGCTCACTTAATCTACTTCAGAACTATATCCAGATGTAAAAATAAAAATTAAATCTATCCATATGTTCCTTTTGAAAGTCTCTTGGGAAATATGAGGTCCAAGTTATGAGTGATCTCCAAACAGTGTTCCTTCTTAGATTAAAAGCAGTTAGTGAATGGAAGGCTCTGTTCCTTTTCCTACCCACTCTCCTGCAAGAAAACAAACGAAAAACCCCAAACCAAATACTCCCCCCCCCCACCCCCCAAAGTCTTTAACTTTTAAATTATTTTTACCTTGGTTCGCTCTCTCCCTGTCTCAGTGGTCAGGCTGTGTTTTACACTGCATAGTGAAATGTAAACTCTATTGTTCTAATATAATTTGGGATCATTCAGTTCCGTGACTGACTTCCTCTCTCTGGTATAATGCATGCCGTAATAAATATGTGTTAAATATTTTTCTTCCAGGATTTAATGACTTTTGAACGCCAGTGGACCAGCTTTTTTGCTAATTTTGATACTGAAATACCTTTCATTCTGGAGCTGTCAGAATCTCAGGCAGGGGAGGTATGTTTACTTGAGAAGGTCTTTGAAATGGTAGCGTTATCCTTGCAGAAGTAGTAATAAATATTCAGCATAAGTAATAGTAGGATATAAGTATCAATAATACTTACAAAACTAAAGTACTAATAGTAGTAATAAGTATTCAGCATTTTGTCCCCCTCCCTGTCCCATCTTTTCTTTCACATTTGAGGAACAGAATCCTAATTTTAAAGGTGGTTTTCTGTTTTTTTTTTTGTTTTTTGTTTTTTGTTTTTTTTTAAAGTTGACAGCCCACTTTACTTGCTGCATAATGTGATGGCTTTGGACTGCCTGATATAACTGAAAGTTGAGTGTTTGTTCACTGGTAATGAAACTTAGTGGTTTTATGTGTGCATAAGAGATCCCTTTTTGTAGGTGGATCTAATCTCATTTTGATGGTAGCTTCTGTGTGTGTATTTCCTGACAAGATGAGGTTGCACATGTCAAATTTCAAATATAATTGGTGATAACATGTAGAATAGGTAAACATAGTACAGTGCATCCACTTATAGCTATTTTTGGTAGGTGCTGTTTGTTTTTAAGCATATGTGAAACTAATGATGTTTGAGTTTCTGGAGGCTGGGAATAGATTTGAGAGCTGAGGAGTTTACAGGCTTGTTCTTAATGACAGTGGTATCTTGCACCGTCCTTTCGTGTGCTTGTTAATCAGAACGTGTTTTTCTTCTTTGCAGCCTTTCAGAAGTTATTTCAGTCATGGGATGATCTCAAGCCATATAACAGATAACAGGTATCACTCATCACTTTGCTGTGAAATTGTGATCTCCCTTGTATCTCGATATGTTGTTTTTATACCTCTGATGTCTTAAGAATGCTTAATTCCTTTTGGGGCCATTTCAGTATATTACATCCTGTCTCTGTGTATTTGAAATACTGCACAGAGCCACTGGTCCAAATTTTCATATGATTTGATGCTGCAGTTTCATTACATACATAATGTTGATATGCTTGAAACTGTTGGTATTGTGCATTCTAATATGATCAAATAAACTTGTGGCCGTATTAAATAGGATGATAGCCCTGTTTGAAAACTTGGCTGTATGTTTTCATACATTTTTTTATGTTACTCAAAAACAGTTAAAATATGGAAGATGAAGAAGTCAATATCCTTTTGTGTGTCACAGTACCCACAAGATCGATGCTTAAAAGCAGAGCAGTTAAAACCCAGATCTTAAGTTGTTGAATACAAGTCACCTTTATTTTATTTTGGCACAGAATCTTAGGTGAGAGGGGAAGGCTGGTTGTCATACGTTGCAAAAGCAAGCATTCTACTGTTTTGAGCTAAATAAAGGTTGCTTAACTACTTGAATGTCTCTGTAGGTTATGCTTTATTTGGAAATAAACAGTGGAGTTCAGTGTCCTTTATTGTTTTCAGCATCCTATCTATTTTGCAGTTAATTAAAAGAGAAACCTTGACCTCACCAGTTGAGTCTTGGGCCCAAAGCCAGAATAAAAACCAAAACAGTTTTGCTTAATTCCAGTTACTTCTTTCAGGGTTTTCCATGAGAAATTTTAGACTACTCATCTCTTCAAGGCAATTTGCTTTTTTAAAAAAAAAAAAAACAAAAAAAAACCCCAAACACCCAAACTTCTAATAGCAAGGTCTTAGAATCCAGTCTACTGCTTATCCTTTGAGAAATAGCTTTGAGATATGTTGTTGTATACAAAAGAAATTAGAATCTTGTGAATTCAAATATTTTTCTTTTACTGTCGAACTGTTCCATGAAGCTTTCTGTGGCTTCAGTCTGTGCAGCTGTTTTTTGTGGGATGTTGGGGTTTTTTTGTTTGTTTTGGACCTATTCTAGTGTAGATACTCAGTAGGTAGCCCATCAGACTTGAAAGCCTCGATTTCCCTTGTTGTTTGTAAATTTTCTTCTAGTATTGTGGTGGTGATAGATTCTTTTCTTCTTAGCCCTAGCCGGCAGCCTTTTGTTCTGTTTGGTAGCCACTCAACTAAAGAAAACTTGAACACCGGTAACTTTAATTTTCCATCGGAAGGACATCTGGTTCGAAACACTGGCCTTGGTGGAAGCACTGCTAAGCATATGGTGAGGTTTTTAAATAATTATCTGATATTTTTAAGCAGTTTATTTTTGTTTCCTTCGGGTTTTTTTTTTTTGTGTCTAGAAAGCACTTATTTTTCATGAGTTAAATACCCAGTGCTTGACGTATAAAAACATGTTTTCTTAATGCTCAGTCAGCTTAAGGAAAACTTTTGCTTTTTCTCTCTCTCAAAATATACTGGATATTTATTCATGGACTGCTGAGTGACATGATTTTTTTAGTTCGATTTTGAAAAGAGTTTTTTCTAAACACCTGTGCTGCTCTAAATGTATGGGGTGGAGGAGAGGGAAATGTTTCTGGTGACACTTGACCTAGCCGTAATGTGAAGCTCTTCCTAATGGTAGCATATGATATTATTTAACTGTGACACATGGAATTTAATTGAATCAGAGTTGTTTCTTAAACAGAAAAGACACTTTTTTTGAAAATGACTTTGTAAGTATACCAAGCCTTTTGATGTTTGGGTATGCGTATGTCCGTGTTTCAGCAACCAAACGGTTCATGAAACTCTGAAAATTCTTCTGGTGTTCAAAGAATGTTAAGATAAATTTGTAAGATTAACTTGTTTCCATTTTCAAGTAAAAGTTTAGTTTTAAAACATATCATGAGGTCGATGGCTTGTTGCCCTACTGCGCAGGGGACGTAACTGGGGAAGCGACCCCAGGGAATTCAGATCCTCTGGCTGGCTGGGCTGGGTGCATCAAGAAGGTAACTCACAGCAAAGGAGGAGAGGTAGTGTGCAGACTGCATTGTGTAGTTCTCCCTGCTAGCCAATTGCCATGGGCTTCGGGAGTGTCCGTCAGTTGTGCGAGTCAGTAGTCTGTTCTGTTAAGTAGATGGATGTGGCTTGTTGAATACAGGTCATCGTGGAGTGAACGTGTGATTGAGGGAATGATTTTGGTGATCTTGTCCTGACGTTTCATACACAGCTGCCTTAGGGATGGACATTGATATTCTTTGACACATTACATGGGTCAGAGGCCCAAGAAAGGATCATATTAGCATTCCAGTGAAATCTCATTCTCCATTTTCTTCCCTAGCACTTCCAATTTTTTCCCCTTTTTAAAAATTCTAGTTAAGTGCATTTGATACTTTTCGTAATTCAAGTGAAATTTTTTTCTGATGCAGTACCTACCCCATCAGTTGTCCTCAGATTCTGACATTATTTTTAAGAAGGTGGTTTGTTTACAAACAGAGATGACATTGCTTTAATAGGGTGTCTTGAAAACAGTAAATAAGATCAACTGCTAGCATAGTTATGGAAACCTGACACTCTTTCTGCTTCATGAGAAGAGCAGTTGACATAGGAAATTGAAAACGTATTCTTAACGTTCATGGAATTCAGAGCTCATCTTCTTTCCAAAGCTTTTGAGCCATTCAGGTCCAGTCAAAAGTGAAATATACCTTTGAAAACGTAAGTCACTTTTTAAAAATCCAGTTGGTCCTGTATCGTGCACTTCCTATAGTATGTCAGTTTTTAGAGAACTTAGGGGCAAACTTAGTTTATTGAGTTTTTTACTAAGATATTTTTGTATCTCATCAATACTGACAACTAGGTAGCGCAGTGTGTATCTCCAAAGGGACCTCTGGCTTGTTCAAGGACCTATTTCTTTGGAACCACTCACATTCCTTTCCTGGGTAAGTGCATTAAGAATACCAAGCAGGAATTTAAGCCAATTCATCTCATTGATTATTTAAGATTGTATTGATTAAAGCATGTTTTTGATTTCTTTCAGTATTATGCCGTGTAGTGTTTTGTTCAGTGATAGATACTGTGTAATTCTATAGCCAGTACATGCAGTCTTAGCAGAGCACTGTTCTGTGGCACATCCTACCTTCTCGTGTGAAAATCTGTCAGACGTTCGCAAAGAAATGTTCCTGTATCTTTTGTTTGTTCCAGTAGTTTATGGAAAAAAGTACTATGAAGGTGGTCAAATACTGAAAAAAGGTTGCTCAGGACGTTGTGGAATTTCCATCTTTGGAGGTATTCAAGAGTGTATTGGACAAGCCTATGAGCAACCTGATCTAACTGCGCCCGCTTAGAGCAGGGGGCTGGACTAGGTGGCCTCCAGAGGTCCTTTCCAACTTTAATTATTCTGTGATTCTTTGATGATACTTTTTTTTTTCTCTTGTGAAGTTCTTAGTGTGACAGTATTAAGCTAACTCTGAGTGTGCAGTTGAACCAGGTGACCTTCAGAGGTCACTCTAAACACAAAGTTTCTGTGACTTGACTTTGGATAAATTCAAAAGATGAAATAGAGGAAGTTTCAGGAAATGGATGTGTGTATACATCAGAATGCAGTGTGAAGGCAAAGAGCACCTGGGGGTGCATAGCTTTTACAAAGAACATATATATGCATTTGAGTTTGTGTTCCTTATAGAAAGAAAGAAGAAAAGAAGAAAACCCACAAAACCTAGTAAATCAAAGTGGTAGTTGTCAAAAAAAATTGTATTTTTTTTGAACAGTTCAGTATAAGAAAACTTATGATTTTTATCCTTTATCATCTTGCTCATGTTGAATATTGAATGTTTATAATTGTACTCTTTCCTAATGAAAACAAGCCATGTGAAATTTTTAAAAACAATTTAATTAACAATTTTAAATAGCTGCACGAGTCTTTGGAAATCAGTCTCCTTCGGGTTACTATGTATCTTGAAACTGCGTCCAGCTCAGAACCTCTCTGAACAGAAGATGGTCAGAAGCTTGGGAGGACGTGTAGCGTATGTTTGCCAGTCATGATTTTCCTAGGCATCTGGTAAAGGCTGTTGCAGGAGACAGGAAACAGCATGAGGGAGATCTTTGATCTGACCTAAAGTAGCTATTCTTACGGCATGCCAGTCTTAAAATCTTGGCCATAGTATGTACTGGCTGTACTGATACAATTTACAGTCGGTGGGTTGGGTTTTTTCTTTGTTTGCTTTGTTTATGTGCGTATGTTTACACACGTGTATATGTAGGTGTAGGAGTGTGTGTGTGTGTATATATATGTATATATATGTGTGTGCGTATGTGTATATATATATATATATGAAAAAATCTGCAGACAAGCTGAAGTTAATATAAATAACATGTTCGTTAAGTAGTGCAAAGAAAGTTTCCGCTTCCTATATGCCCAAAAAGTTCTGTTTTGCTCTCTCCCACAAGTGCCTAAAGCAAATAGATTTCATTTTTGTTTTTATTTTTTTTTTTACAGGAAATGACAAGGAGGTGCACAGGAAAGCTGAGCAAGTGTAAGCTGCCAACTTTTTCCTTAACCCTTTCAGCTTTGTAGCAATAGGTCCAAAAGCCCGTTCAGAAAGCAGAGGCTGTTGGCATTTGCCGAGGAACGTTTTTCTTCAGAGCAGTGTAAATGTGAGGGGGTTTCAGAGGATGTTAGGAAAAAAACTAGGAACTGTTACCTAATGTGATATCCCTTCAGCTTTAAAATGAAGTTTGAAAGGAAACGTTAGTAAACGTCACTCAAACATTTTACAAAAACTTTTTTTTAATCTTAACGCACGTTTTAATCATTTTTAAATGTTTTGTGCCCCTAAACAGAGGGTGAAGATATCCGTAACTGAATGGGAGTGTGTTCCATGGATAGAAGTAAAAGTAATTTTTATGTTAGTTTCATTAAGTTAAACGATGTGAAAGATTTACCATTTTTAGTGAATGCCTTCAGGGAACACTCAAACTGGCATAGGAAGTTTACTGTTTTAAAGATGAAATAAAAGCCAACTTCTGAAATTTCTTGTTAGTAACCTACACAGCTTCTGCACGTTTTGACCTTCACAAAATAACACTTTTTTATCCAAGTTGATGTCCACTTTTATGCATGTCCTAGATACCTGTCCACATTTAAGAATGTGATAGGTAATTTGCTTTGGTGCTGCTCTCAGTCTCAGTCGATGACAAATCTAGACCTTTTCTCCAGAGATTTTATCTTCCTTGCTGGTTAGGAAAATTTCAGGAGCCTGTTGTTGCTTCTGCTGAGGAGCCATCTGCAAACCTGCATGACAGGTTAGAGAAATGTTAAAGATAGGTCAGAGGAACTAGTAGTGGTGGCCTTTTATGCTAAGTACTGCTGACTTACGATAATTGTGATACTGTTTTCCAAGACACAAATGTGAAGTTACTAAATTGAGCAGCAGAATTTTCATTTTATGTAACAAAACGAGTAATCTTGCTTACCTATGCATTTTGCACAAACATTTAGAGTATCTCTTTGTCCTGTTTTTAAAAGGCTTTGTACTTAATATAGTTCTCGCTAAGATGACTAGAAAGGCTCAAAGGAAAGCAGGAGTCTTTTGATGGAGGCTATTTTTTTACCAGAATATCCTTTTCTCAAAAGTGTCCCTATATTGGAATAGCTGATCTAATTGGAATAGAAGAAAAGATTCCCTTGCCTTGCAAACATGGCCTCAAGATTTAGGGATTGGGATGCAGTGGGACTGTTTAACTTCTTTTTATATTGGTGTTTGCCAGTGTTTCTCAATGAATGTAAAGAGTGGAAGGATACTTCATAAGCATAACTCGGTCCAAATCTGATTGTATTTAAGAAATAGAACTGCAGCCTAGAATACAGATTGGCCACCGTGTGCAAATTGACTAGGCGACTTTGAGGACCGTTGGATTATACTTGCTATTTTTTTAACAAATATTGTTCAGTGTTTTGAGTTACTATAAAACAGGAAGAAGAGCAAGAAAACTATAACATTAACACAAAGCGCAGCCCATTGAGAGATTTCTTGCAAATGTATATGGGAATTGGAGTCAATATAGGAGCTTTTATGGAGTTAGAGCGAATTGCACATTTTTTTAATGTGTGTGCTGGAAGTGTAAGTGAAATGTACATGTTCACGAAATTACATAGATCAAACACAAAACCCAAAGAATAGTTGGAAGGCTTAATGATTTTTAAAATCTCTTCCTGTTATCAGAGATGTAGTTAGAAGAATATGGTCTGCATAGGGCTCGTTGGAATTGTTTGTGGTGGTGTCCGTCCACCAAGGCATTGGTGCATTTGAAGGTTCCTCCAGGTTGGGTCATGTTTGGGAGCTTCAGATGCTTTTTTCCATCCTTCAGAAATGGC